GGAATTCATTCTTAGTTGGTCGCTGGAAAGCCTGAGCACGAGAAAGCCACCAAAGACGGGGGCTTCTCTCCGGTTCCTACAGGCTCAAAGGTTTTCCGTCGCAGCCCATACAGAGCAACGCTGGGCTTGTGTCGAAGGCCTCAGGAAGCAGAGCCAAGCTTTGAAGAGGATACATGGAGCTTAACGCAGTAACACGTCCCTGCACCAGGCAGGGGGAGGGAAACGCAGCAATCCGTACCCACCTGCCAGTAACACTCACACTGTGTTCAGCAGCAGGAAGCGGGTCGAGCTTGGCAAATGCGCTGAGGGTGCCGAGGATTCATAGGAAGTTTTATGCATTTGACTTTTGCTATTTGTTTCCACATGTTTTAGAAGAACCGCTCCTTTCTCGTCGTGTGGAGGCTCCCTGTGTTTCCCTGCTCGTGGCTCTGGAAGAGGCGGCCAGGCATCCAAACGACTGCAGGCCAAATGTTCCTTTTGGAGTGAAGAGAAGCAAGGCATCCGTCCCAGAGTGTGCATGTCTACCATGCACCGGCAGCTCAGCCCTCCGAGTCCGGGTTAAGTCCAAGCTCCGCTTCCATCCCCACACAAGTCAGCCTGTCCGGGAAGAGCCTGAACCTTCCCTCTGCAGCTCGGGTCTAAGCTGTGTCCTTCTGCAAGGTGGGCATGGTTCAAGCCGCAGACCTGAAGCCAAAGGCCTGCGTAGTGCAGTGTGGATGCTCCAACATGGGATGCAGCCCCTGTGCATCCACAATGCAGCCTGGTCTGCCAAGGGCAGGCTTAGCGACACCGACTCCACAACCCAGGGCTCACAGCACCGTGGAGACGTGCTCAAAGGACCTCAGCAGTAGCCTGGGTCCGATTCAGGGCTGCCGAGTGCCTAGCATCTCACGCACGACATGACACGCATCCCACCCATCAGTGGGGCTGAGAGCAACTGTAGTTCCCCCTAAGGCCAGGAGAGGGCACTGTGGTACCTGGTGTCAGCAGGACCCAGGGTCAGGCGCACGCGCAGGGCGGCAGTGGCCTAGAAAGAGCCCTCTCTGGACCTCCCATCGACTCGGGGCCAAACTCATGGCCCATAGTTCATGGGATAAGCGTGAGCACATGAGATCGTGCACGAGCCTCACACTTCGGGTGTGACACTTGACTTGAGAGTGTTTCTGGGGGGGGAAGCTCTGTAAGGAACGAGTGGGTCCTAGGTGCAATGTCCAATGGCTGTGTACGGAACACGCGGGTACCACGGCCACCGTCACCCCATTCCTGTGTCTGGCTGCCAGGCCTAGATTTCCCCACCCCGGCGGGCTCCCCTGCTGAAGGGTCACTGTCACCCCATTCCTGTGTCTGGCTGCCAGGCCTAGATTTCCCCACCCCGGCGGGCTCCTCTGATGAAGCAACTGGGCTTATCCCTGAGCACTACTGAAGCCAATGGGACCTCTCAGAGGAGGAAGGACACGAGCAGCCCCAAGGGAACCACTGGCAGTGCACAGCCGCAAAGGAACTGGATTGCTCCTGCAAAATCTGGGCAATTCCTCTATGCCCTAGTCCCACCGCAGGCGTACCTCCCTGCAGCCCAGCCAGAACCCCCGGCCGGGTTATGGGGGTGTCTGTGCATGCTGTGAGAACACTGTCAGAGAGGCAAGTTAATGGTTTCTCTTAATTAATGGGCTTCAATTTTACCCAGCTGTAACGCTGGCCTAATTTAAAATCTTTCCACGTGGGTGCAGCGACATTTTAACAGGAACCATTGTGTCTGGCTGAGTGGGAGATCTGCAGGGCTCCCTCCCATCAGTGCTAGTGAGAGTCATGTGTTTGCAGAAGGGTTCAATTCAAGAAGTGGGACGAGAAAGAAAACAGGAGGGTTGGGCGCAGGTAAGGGCTGGAAGAGCCCCGTTAAGAGAAACAAGAAACTCTCCAGACGAGGCCATCAACCTCAGACTAGTCAAGAGGTGCCCACCACTTCAGATAACAGTGGCTCTATTGATGCTCCTTCTGCATGTCTGAACACCAGCCTATTGCACTGGGGGAGCACTTAGTGGCCGCAGTCCTAAACCTCTGTGCAAGGCGCTGTACACACAAACACTCACACAGAGAGTCCTGCCCTCAACAACCTCACAATCTAAATGTAAGGCCGGAGACAAGAGATGGATGCAACAGAAAGATGGGCAAATACAAGACGGAAATGAGGCAAACCCGGTCATGAGCAGCAGTGGTCTCAGCACACCAGCTGCCTGGCCTCTCAAGTTTTTCGTAAGCATCACAGCAAAGGAGAGTGTTAAAAGAAGGACAGTGAAGTTAGCACCTGAGGTGCAGTCTCGCACCATTTCTGACCCACATGGAAGCAGGCCAGGCCAGGTGTCTCCGATAAACGCAATACCATGTTTCCTACAGATTCCCAATGACAACATTTTAGAGCTAAAAAGTCTCAGAGGGGCTCTGTTGGGCCAGGCACTGCACCGGCACAGCAACACACAACCTATGTGACAAAGAGCTGGCGCGCTACTAGCTGCAACAGCGCAAGGGCATGCTTAGACGGGAACGACGGCTCCGAGACACGACTAGTGGGATTTTCAAAAGCACGAGCCATGTCACACCAAGGGGAGGTGCTTTGGAAAACCCCATGCAAAGTGGCTTGCCCACGATCACGTAGAAAATTTTCAGCAGAGGCAAGAGCTGATCTCAGACTTCCTGAGACCTAGTTCACGGCCTTAACTGCAAGATCACCCTTCCTCTCCATGTCCGAGTAAGGTCCAACTAGGCATTCAGGCTTAGGTCCTGCCTCCGGCACACAAAGTACAGTTCAGACAAATCCAATTGCTAGGTAAGATTTTGATCAAAAAGGGTTGCAATGCAATTCCTGACCCAGCCATGAGAGACCGTCCTTCAAGATTATCCTCCTCCTGCCTCTTCCACGAGTTTCTTTATATTCAGCCAGAGGAGCTGCACTGCCTCTGGGTTCAAGCCTGCATTGGGGAGGGATCCCCAAGTCCAAATCCTCACCATGGAAGTCAAGTTGGCCCTCTGCAGCTAACATTCAGCTAAAGGACTTGTAACCTGGGTTCCCTGGTTCCCTCTTTTCATAGAATCCTAGAACTGGCCCTCGAGGGGTCATGAAGTCAAGTCCAGTCCCCTGCCCTCATGGCAGGACCAAACATTGTCTAGATCATCCCTAACAGGTGTCTGTCCAACCTGCTCTGAAATTTCTCTGGGGATGGAGATTCCACAACCCCCCTGGCAATTTATCCCAGTGTTTCACCACCCTGACAGCCAGGAAGTTTTTGCTCATGCTCAGCCTAAACCTCCCTTGCTGGAATTTAAGCCCATTGCTTCTTGGGCTATCCTCAGAGGTTCATTTTTCTCCCTCCTCTTTGTAATACCCTTTCAGGCATTTGAAAGTAGCTATCATGTCCCTCCTCAGTTTTCTCTTTTTTCTAAACTAAACAAGCCCCATTCTTTCTGTTTTCCCTCATGGGTCATGTTCTCTAGACCTTTTATATGGAGATATACCATGTCCCAGAACTGGAGGGGACCTTCAGAGATCATTGAGTTCAGTCCCCTACCCTCACAGCAGGACCAAAGACCATCCCTGACAGATTTGCCCAAGATCTCTAAATGGCCCCCTCAAGGACTGAACTCACAACCATGGGTTTAGCAAGCCAATGCTCAAACCACTGAGCTATCCTTCCCCCACAGGTTTGATGCTCCTCTCCAGACCTTCTCCAGTTTCTCCACATCCTTCCTGAAGCACAGTGCCCAGAACTGGACACAAAACTCCAGCTGAGGCCTACTCCACTCAGAGTAGAGAGGAAGAATTATTTTTTGCGTCTTGCTCACAACACTCGTGTTAATGCAGCCCAGGGCCAGGTTTGCTTTCTTTGCAACAGCATCACACTGTTGACTTATATTTAACTTATGGCCCACTCTGACCCCTAGATCCTTTCCTAGACAGTCGATTCCCTTTCTGCGTGCGTGAAACCGTTCCTCCTGACATGGAGCACTTTGCATTTCTCCTTACTGAATTTTGTCCTATTTATCTCAGACCATTTCTCCGGGTTTGGAAGGCATACATTACAGCAAGAGAACATGAGAAGGCCAGTAGGCCCAGAGAGAGCTATTATTTGGGTTACTGCACTCTAAGGCCTGTAAGTGTCTAGGAGAACCAGGCATATAGCCCCGTAGAAGCCTTGGCTTTCTTATCACTTTAGTTTAATCTAAGAAAGTGCCAGCTCATAGTGTATTCAAACTCACACTCAAACTGGCTCATTCCTGAAATAAAATCTAGCTAGTGCACCCCATGCCACAAACTTTTGCCCTGCAAGAGGGGCCACAAAACAGACAAACTGGGAAATGGAGATGTCGACAGCCAAATGAATTAATCCACCCCAAGAACAAATTCCTAGCAAATGCTGTAACAAGCCAGCTAAGCATGTTGTCTACAGAGGAAGTCATTAAAAAAAGTTACAAAACAGACTGTCTTGCAAAGTCCTTGCTCAAGAGCTCTAAGACTGTGATAACTGCTGGCTTGTACAAGAAGAAACGTACCTCTGGATTTATCTTTCAACCAACACTTCCCTTGCTGCCAAGTATTTTCAAACCTCACAGCAATATCCTTCAGATGTCTCCCAGATTCCTGATTCTGCCCCCCTCCCTGCTCTACAATCAGGCAGGCAGAAACCTATGTTCCCCTCACCCTGGAGCAAGGCTCCATCTGACAGCTTCTCCATCTGTTTGCATCTATGAGTTCCCCAGTGGAGAAACCAGGTGTCCTATCTGAGAGCACACATGCAGTCAGCCACTAGGCTTTTAAACCCAAATAGAAAATAAAACCAACGCCGTGAGCGGCAATCCATCAGGTGTGGTGTACCTCATCGCCTGTGGAAAATGGATTCAGTATGTCCAACGGACAGGAAGCTGTCTGCACTCAAAGTCTATGAAAAGCACTGGCCCCCACCCGCCAAACAAGGGATGCCCCATTTTCAATTCGCTTCAACATGCCTGACCTTTCACTGCAGACGGCGTCACTTGCTCTCGTCGTCGAAAGAGACTGGCAAAGCCGGGGCTGCAGAATGAGAAAAGTATTGGACTCATCGGGGAGTCAAACTGGAACCATATGGACAAAACGTGGAACAGACAGCGTACAAAAAACTCCAATTAGTTTCACTGCAGTGCAAGGGTGAACCGTAACCTCTCTTTTCATGTGTGTCAGTCTTTTTCTCTATTGCTCTATCATATTGTTCCTCCGACTGTGAGCTCTTTTCCTGCTGGACGTAATATGCCTTTGGCCAGAGATTCCTTAGAGATGCTTCAAGTTCCTAAGCCCAGTGGTACTTTGAGGTGACAAATGCCAATCTCCCCTCTGTGAGAGGTCACGGGCATTTGATTTCTTCTCCCCTCCTAACCGCTAGTTTGAGTCTTAACGTTACAAAGGGAAAGAAACATGGGAAGACCAGTTTCCTCCCTCCAAATGTTCCTTTCCAGTACAGTGCAGCTACCTGGATGTTTTCTTACTTGTGTAACCCACGCACTTTCTGGGTGTGGCGTACTATCCCATCTTTATTCAAGTCCAAGCGGATACAAATTCAACACTATCAACTTGAATAAAGATATTAACTGCTTAACTCACTACAAAGGCAATTTCCCCTGCCTTTGATATTCGCATTTATACATCAAATGCTACGAATGGGCCACATCCAGCCTGACTCAATTAGCATCTTTAACATGGGTTCTACACTTGACAGCTGCGTTTGCTTTTACATATACTCTGGACTCTGTCATTTCCACTCCAACTTATCTGAAGAAGTGGGCTTTACCCACGAAAGCTCATGATCTAATATATTTGTTGTCTCTAAGGTGCCACAGGACTATGAGTTGTTTTTAAAGTTACAGGCTCACATGGCAACCTCCCACAGTCAATCCATTGAGGTTAACAAAGATGACTCAGGGAAGATTGCATTACACGTGTACCAAGACGGGAAACAAATCTTTAATAACGGGCTCTTTAGGCTTGCAGAGAAACGTAGAACGCACTCCAATGGCTAGAAGTTGAAGCTTGCAATGAAGGTGTCAATTTTTAACCATGAGCATCATTAACCATTGAAACAGCTTCCCAAGGTTCATGACAGATTTTCTCTCCATCACTGACCATTTGTAAATCAAGAGGGGCTGTTTCTTTAACAGCTCTGCTCTCAGAATGACTGTGGGCAAGTCTGAGTCCTGTGCTATACGTGAGGTCAGATTAGAGGGTCACAGTGGTTCCTTCTGGCTTTGGAATGTCTGTCAAGTCAATGGAACTATTCCCCCTTGAATCAACCATGATTCTGCTCAGCTTGACATCACTGTGTAAAACTGCTGTCGAGTTCAGAGACGTTACTCCTGATTTAAATGGATTTGAGTGAGAACAGAATTAGTTCCATAATGTGAGAGGGACCTTCGTTCTCTCCTTTCAGGTTTGCTCTTCATGCTGAGCTAAAATAGCTGCACTTAATATGAATGGCATTCATCAAAGCCCTCTTGGAGATCAGAAGGTTATTTTATTATGTGCAAACTATCAATATCGGTAACATCCACATCTACAGAAATATGCCATCTCCCCTCACATCTGCTAGCGCGACTCAGAAGAAACACTGTGCTATTTAGCTCCAGATTCCAGTCGATGGCCTACAGCAGATTTCAGTTTAAACAGCTGCACAGGTATAATTGACAACACTCCGTGCAGAATATTGACATAAGAACAGCCAGACTGGGTCAGATCCAAGGTCCATCTAGCCCAGTGTCCTGTGGCCAGTGCCAGGTGCCCCAGAGGGAGGGAACAGAACAGGAAACGATCACGTGATCCATCCCGTCACCCATTCTGGGGTTCTGACAAACAGAAGCTTGGGACACCACCCCAGCTAACAGCTATTTATGGATCGATCCGCCTTGAATTTATCTAGCTCTTTTTTGAACCTTATTATAGTCTTAGACATCACAACATCCTCTGGCAAGGAGTTCCCCAGGCTGACTGTGCGTTGTGTGAAGAAAAAAAACTTCCTTTTATTTGTTTTAAACCTGCTATCTACTAAGTTCATTTGGTGACCCCGTAGCAATATGGTGAAAGCTGTAAGGAATCCAGCTTGATTCTCAAATCCAAAGGTTAGTTGTAGGGCTGGCAGTTACAAAAATCACCCCTTTCCTCAGAAACTCAGCAAATATGAGGGGGCATCCTGAGAAGCCATTTTTGGAGACTTGTTGAAGCTGTTTGGGGTGGGGGAAGCATTCAGAGAGTATTGCTATCGCAAATCACCACCAGTGTCCAGAACCCTGGAAACTTAATGTTGAGGTTACACTTTAATAAAAGCGAAAGGATGGAACACACACAGTGTGGACTCATTTACTGGGCTTCGGTTCCAGCAACAGATGAGAAACTTACCAGGACTGTGTGGCTCCATTTGGGGCTCCCAGCTGACTGGGGAGGCATAACATACAGATAGTCCCAGACATCTTTCTATCGAGCTATGACAAAAAGAAGCAGGCAAACAGCCCAGGGCAGGCGCTTCTGCTTTCTTAGGTGCCAGGTGGATGGGATTACATTGGACAAATGTAACTGTCACAATGCTACACTTTCACGATGCGAACCCAGGCACTAAGGGGGCCTGGTTGTAGAGAGGTCTATACAATCATGACCTGTGTGGAGAAAGTAGATAAGGAAGTGCTATTTACTCCTTCCCATAACACAAGAATGAGGGGTCACCCAATGACATTAATAGACAAAGGATTTAAAACAAACAAAAGAAAGTATTTCTCCATACAACAGACAATCAAGGTGGGGACCTCCTTGCCAGAGGATGTTGTGAAATCCAAGACTATAACAGTATCCAAAAAAGAACTAGATAACTAGAACCTCTCCTCTAGGAAGTTATTAGGTTGGGCAGGGATGGCGTCCTTAGCCTCCGTTTGTCAGAGGCTGGGAACGGGCGACAGGGGTGTGATTACATGATGATTCCCTGTTCTGTTCATTCCCTCTGGGGCACCTGGCATTGGCCACTGTTGGAAGACAGGACACTGGGCTCGAAGGACCTTTTAGTCTTACCCTATATGACTGTATTTACGTTCTCATGTTCATGTGGATGAGACAGACAAGCTAGCCAGTGTGATATCCGGATTGAACAGCATACCACAGAAAGGATTTCATGATGTATATTTTCATTTTTTAATTGGGGAGGCTATTCTATCTGCTTTCCCCCACCTGCCTTTTATTTTATTTCTGGTTCTTTATGGCCTCTCCTCCCAGCTGCTGACTATTATCACCTTCCATTCTAAGCCTCTCTAACTGCTCACATAATCACCCCTTTATTTGGGAACCTGGAGGTGTACCCTTTGCTCCACCGATTGTCTTTGTACCTCTTGATCATGTCTTATCCTTCGATATTCAACTCCATCCTCTATTGCCAGCTTACTTTTGTCTTCTCCACATGGCGTTCCTAGAGCAGAAAGGAGCGAATAATTAGCAACAAATCGTATGCATATTGATAGCGCCTCATTCTGTCTAGACACTGTCTACGGGGCGATCACCATTGCCTTCAACTATGTGTTTCCGAGATGCGAGAGCTAACTTCTATATGGAAAAACAACGAGGAGTCCTGTGGCACTTTAAAGACTCAATTTATTTGTGCATCAGCTTTCAGTACACAGCTAGTGACATTTAACGATACTGACTGGGCCATCCTCCCCCCCCTTTCTGTGGAAGATGTCTACAAGGAGAGGCTGGATTTGGTTTCTGGCAGGGATTTATTTTTGTTTGATAAAGCGGCGATCGCCTGCAGTGGAAAGGATTCAATGAGGAGTTGAAAGAAATGATCGAGCTGCTTTGCCATAAGCTGATGGATGATCTCATGAACAAAAGGACGTTAAGGTGGTGGGTGGACAAAGCAAGGAATCGGCCTGACTCTCTTGGGGAGCTTTTCAAAGCCCTGCAGATCAGTGGCTGCCTTCTCTCAGGCGGACATAGCACGTGTATTACATAAATGGCTTAGTTAAGGGATCCGTTTTAAGTTCATTTCAAAAGGATTAAGGTTGTTAGACCATCGCTTGAGTCTTTGGAAAATCCCACTTGGAATTCAGATATTTTCAAATACCAACGTTGTTCTAAATCCCTGGAAACTGTTATTCAGCAACCGCCCTGAGAACTTCCAAACATTTGCACATTTAAGTTTTGTAACACACAGCTGTTTTCTGTAAGTGGGGAGTAATTTAACAGCCTTTAATGTTAATAAAGCTTTTGTGAGATGAGGTCAGCAACCTGGTTATTCAACCCTCTGGCTCTAACACAAGGCCAGACCAGCTTCAGTTGATCATTAGTGCAGTTTGAGCGTAATGAGTGTTTCTTCAAGAATCAGATGGTATTTTGACCACTGTGTGAATAAGTCGTGATTCATTTGGCTGTTTCAGTCCCACGTTCCAATTCCTTAAATTGCTGAAATGTGCTTCCCCGACCAGCAAATAAAGGTCATTTCTCCTTTCAAAGGATGTGAATCAGCCCACCTTATCATGGGCATCTTCTCCTGCAAATGACTAATGAACGCCCGGCATCCGGAGCTTTCGTTCTCTTTCCATCTCAGAATAAATCCCACCTAAATGATCGCTGACGAGGCTGCAAAGGGGAATATGGATGGATAATACAACAAAAATCATCCAGTCTGTCCTGGTTCCCTGGCTACACGCTCGACTGTGCTCCTTGCTTCTGGAGATCGATGGTCTTGGATCGTGGCATTGGGAAGACATTTCTCAGCCACACGAAGGATCCTGGAATTCTGATTTGACAGCATGAGGGAATTAAAGGGGGTGGAAATGGAGCCTCCAGGCATGAGGGCTCTACACGAGCCATGCTCACAGCCCCCCTGTGCAGGGAAGGCTGGAGGGAAAGGTCATCATTGGAAAGTATTGCTCAATGGCAATATTCTGCTTCACAGGGCCTTGGGAAGGCGACCCTAACCTAGGGCAACCTTGGGAAGCCTGCCATTGAGGCCTCAAACGTGGGCCTTCAGTATCCTTTCACCGAGGCCACACATGATCTCTCGGCCGCTATTTGACCCAGGATTACCGTACCCATCTTGTCCTGATGCCATCGCTGCTCATGGGCACCCTGCTGAGGTTTCCGGTGGTGGTGAGAGGAAGGTGTCCACCCCTAGGTGGCTCAGGCGCATCTGCCTTGTGTTGACTTGCAGTATAAGGGGCCAGATTCCATTCTCTCTTACCCCTGAGTAGGCAACCAATCAGGAGTACCCCATGCAACAGGAGAACCCGTCTGACCCGGGAGGAGCATTCCCCCTAGCAGTGCCTTCATTAGCAGCTGTGTTAGTCAATGGAAACAGCTTGAAACTGTTCCTTTGTAAATATAGTGGATGGTCAAATCAAGCTCCAACAGAACAAGTCAGTCTGTGGGGTGCCCGTGGGTTTCTTTGACACTGGTGTGTGCTGCAGGGTACTCACATGCTTTATGGGAAAGTGGAGGCGGGTTGGAAGTTGCAAGCTCTAACAAGGTAACTTTTGAAAAGCTCCCAGAGGAAACCGGACACCCTGGTCCCATTAATTGGGCTCCAAATCCTTTTGGATGATCTGAAAAATCCCCAGTAAGCAGTTTTGACACCTTGCAACCAACAGGTGCTTATTTCATTGCACAACTAACATTTGACAGCACTGAGAAATGTGCACCAATAAACAAATCTGAATTTCATGCCCAATCTGTTGGGCTTGCATTTTTTTAAAGGAGTGTAAAGTAGGAGAGGAATGTTCACGAGTTAGGTTTTCATATGCACATGCCAGCTTCCCTTCGTGTGCCTTGGGAGACCCGCACGTCAAAGGCCTTGGGAAATGCAAAAGTGAATTAGTTAATAGGTCTGGGACAATTTTTCTGTATATAAACAAACATTCTCCCAATGTTCCACAGGCAGATTGTTAAGCGGCTAGAAAGCACTTGAAATGGTTTGTCCCAAGGCAGGGCACTCTGCTTGCCTTCCCCAGACCTGAAGAAGAGCTCTGTGAAACTCGGAAGGCTGGCTCTCTCACCAACACTAATCACTCCAATAAGAGATATCACCTCCCCCTCCTTGTGTCTAATCTCTGGATGAGTCTACACTGCACCCATAGCTCGAAATAAGATACGCAATTTGACCTACACAAATTGCGTCGCTTATTTCGAGTGTATTTCGAAATACAGCGTGATTCCGAAACATCCCTTAATCCTCATGGAATTAAGGGACATTGGCAGAGCAGGCCCGTTACTTCAAAAGCTATTTCGAAATAATGGGCTTGTTTAAAAGATGTGGAATAGCTATTTCGGGATACCGGAAGTATCCCGAACGAGCGCCGCAGTGTTAGACTCTGGGGCCAACCTAATTACCACAACATTGCGCACGGTTTAAGAACTAAGCAGGCAAAAACTCACTCCCAGAAAAAAACAAACCCAGGGGACCTTCAAAGTAGGGGTGAGGTCCAAACCGACACAGCTGCCCCTATGGCAAATACCAGGTTTTACTCCCGCCCTCTCAGGTTGGGTTTGCAGAACTGGCCCTTCCAGGAACAGCTTGAGATTTGCAGATTGCACACAGCTGCTGTGCCAACCTCACAGCATGATGACACCTTTACGGCGCACGAGAGGAAAACGGTTCTTTTAAGAAAGATGGGGCAGGACACAGCCAGCACTCACACCCCACCCCAACAGGAGGCAGCGTGGCCTAGCAGCTACAGCATTGCCTTCGCATCAGCAGCCCTAGACAGCATGCTTGGCTGAGCCACTGACCCAATATTGACCGTAATATTCGTCATCTCTTTGTGCTGCGCACCGCTTTCCCGATCTCGCACCCTATCTTGTCCACGTTAGCCTGGACTCTCTCCTACGCTTCATTGTAAGCATTCGTGTGCTACAGCTCAGAAGGGAAGGGAGTCTTCGCTGTACATATCACTCCCTACAACACCCACCTCTGCCCACCTTCCTATTCTCGCTGTTACACGCAGCTGTTTATTTAACAATCATCTCTTCAGAGCGGCGCTCACTCCAACTGCAGCTAGATTTCCATCCATTCATATGGGACGGAGCGAGACCATGTGCTATGCACAGCTTAATGAACTAGCCAACGAGCCCTGGAAAGCCAACAAAGGATACAGGGCAGTAAACATGTGTGGCACCACGTTGGCTGTCTTTTCCAGATGACCATTTTTATGTGCTTCCAAAGCTTTTATTCTTCCGCTGCTCTTGTTCTCGGTGGTTTGGAAGCAGAGCGAGGGGGAAAAGTTTCACAGGGACTGGTTTTCATTTCCTACATGGGGCCAGCTGTAAATTGCGACTTCACAGCTCGGACTGCTCCAAGCAGTTCCAGTTAGATTTGTGTAGTGACGAGAACTGTCTTGATTTTCCCTTTTTCCTCCTGAGGAAGCAGTTAGCAGAGCTGTGAGGTGAGAAACATGGCTAGGAGGTTGGTTTGTTTTTTTAAACAGCAGGAGTGGCTGTTTGGGAATAGCCCCGCAGGGCAGTCACACCTGTTTCCTTGGGCTGATTATGCCATTGAGATGATTTTATGGAGCTCTGGAGCCCGTGCAGCACCTCGCCATAATTACAAACGGACAGTCCTTCTTGTGTTGGATTGGGATTTCACCACGCTAAGATCGAGGTGCTGTAAGGGCGCAAAACGAGAGACCCTCTCTCCCCCATGATGTCCTGGCAGGAGTGAGCATAAATAGCTATAAACTCAGCACAGGATGCTTACCTCAATCCAGAGCAGATGCCCAACTGCACCATGGGATGAATGGTGCGGACATGAGATCGTGCGAGTTTTACCACTGTCTTAGAAAGATCAGTTCAGCTGGTAGAAGTTACCACAGAGGAAAACTGGGCCAGTGGTCAGGACGTTTGAACTTTGGAGACCCAGGTTCAAAACCCTACTCTGCCACAAATTTCCTGTATGAACTTGGGTGAGTCACTTAGCCTCTGCGTGCCTCAGTTCCCTGTGTGTACAATAAGGACCATAGCCCTGCCCAATTTCTCAAGGGTGCTGTGAGGTTCAATTCATTAATAACTGATGTGCTGTGAGCTCCACGGACAAAAAACTCTATTTGAAAGCTTGGTACAGGCTGAACCTCTCTCGTCCAGCAACATCCGTGGTCCCCAGGATTTTAGCGAGCTAGATGTCCGCTTATCATGGGTGTGGCCAAGTGTCCCATAAAGTCTATTTACAGCCACCAGACCTGACTCAGGGTACGTCTAGATTACATGCCTCTGTCGCCAGAGGCATGTAGATTAGGCTACCAGACGTAGTAAAATGAAGCGGCGATTTAAATAATCGCCGCTGCATTTAAATTTACATGGCTGCCGCGCTGAGCCGACAAACAGCTGATCAGCTGTTTGTCGGCTCAGCGCGGCAGCCATGTAAATTTAAATGCAGCGGCGATTATTTAAATCGCCGCTTCATTTTACTACGTCTGGTAGCCTAATCTACATGCCTCTGGCGACAGAGGTGTGCTGCTGTTTAACTCTAATGTTCCCCTAAGCGTCTTCTAACAGCCTAGTGAGCAGGGGCAGTGTTGGTCATGCTGCTAGACAATACTGACCTCCCATGCTCTGGCAAATCCTCTGGTTTAACACCGGTCAGGTCCCAAGGGTGTCAGACTAGAGAGGTTCAATCTGTATTATCCCAATAGGGATGGCATGGTTTTCAGGCAGTCAAGCAAAACCACTTTTAACTCTCTCTCTTATAAACAGATGTATAGAAAAGCGCATGCGCGCACACACACACACACACACACACACACACACACACACACCCCTCCAAAAAACAGTTAAAAAAACAGCAAAAAAACCCTCCTCCCCACAAACAAAACACCCAAAACTCCACAAACAAAAGACCAAACCAAAACACGCAGCCTCCAGGCGGAGGAACTCAGTCATGTGTATTACAGGGATCCGTACATTTTTAAGAATCAGCCCCCCAGGAGTAAATCAGTGTAGCTCCATTGACTGTGCTGGAATGACACCAGTTCACACCAACAGGGTCTGGCTCTTAGTTTGTAAAATGTCAAGGTCCGAGCCGCACGGGGGGGGTGGGGAGGCCATATCTGGGGATTACGAGTAGAAATTCCGGTGTCACTCTTGGTCACTATGCCCTAGTGGGAACCTGGAGGTGCTGACCATTGGCTTTAGCCTGCAGCGTCCAGTGCACACCTGCTCCCTTGCTCAAGTAACAGATAGCTGTAAGGCTGGGGTCATGACGGAGAATGAGGTACCCAAATCCTCTTGACTAACTCCGGCCCTCAAGTTCCTTTGCAGGCTGAAGCCGTGTGTTCTTACCACCTAGCAGTGCAGCTCTTCTGAACTGAGACTACAGTCCTGTGCCCTTGCTTCCTCCCGCTCGCCTCCTTCCATCCGAACACTGAGCCTGTCCCCTCCCAGGAGACAGCCCAGGCCACAGGGACTCAAGCCGGGTTATTTTTAAGCCCCAAAGGGAAGGCTCTCCAGTCACCTATGGATGTACAGCTGGCTGGTTTTAAAACTCAGGGGAGTCCATGTACGATGCGCAGTTAATAGCCACAGGCATGACTTCACAAAGCTCTCACCTCTTCATATACACCCCACGAGCCCCGCTCTTGCTGTCTGCGCGGGTGGAACAAACTGAAAGACAAAAGGAGAGCAATCAAATCAATACAGCAAAAGCAGGTGCCGCAACTGATGGTGAATGGTCATAAACATCCCCCAGAGAGGGAGGAATATCCAAGCTTTAGCGGCTCTTTGGCTGATTTCTATTTAGATTCATACACGTCTTTTGGGAGTATGTTGCTGCAAAGCTACTGCTCTGTTTTCTTGTAACTGTGCAAACTTGTAGGTCACTCTTCTCCCCGTGTTACTGCAGTAGCTGGGGATTATTATCAGGAATCAAAAATAATCTACGCCTTCCCCAGAGGAAGGAAATCGGACTCGTTGAGCACAAAGCAAGCCAAGATCCCTGTCTTGACAAAATCACAGAGGAAGAAGTGCTAATCTGCTTGCCTTTTACAGGGAAATTGTTCTCTCGAGCTACCTGCTCCTCTCCTACTGCCCCTCACCTCTGGAGAAGCTCCCTATATGCTTCTGCCAAACTAACTCACCATTCTCCTCTGAAACCCTCCTTAAAATTTCCTACGTTATTGATCTGATTCACTGCTGCCTTGTTCCAGTGTGATGCCAATGTAACCCTATCAGCATGAAAGCAGAGTAAAGGAGTAGTGAATCCAACCCTATATTTTCATGAAGCTGTATACCTAAGTGGTTATCTGAAGAAATATGCCAGAAACATCTAGGATATAACCAAACTACATGGACATTTGCAGACACAAGTACCCAAACCAAGCCACTGCACCTGGGCTAAAAGGGAGTTAAGTTTAAGAATATTTGTAAAATTTAGGAATAAAAACATTGCAGGGATACTATAACTATCCCTAACCAAGTGTTATAAAACCAAGACATTCAGGGTTGAGATTATATTTCAAAACATTCATAACGTTTTAAGAGAAGAAGTGCTCAGGTAAGATCCCTGAGTATCCTTAATTCTGCCCTGAACTGAAACAATGCAATAAACGCAAGGACTAGAGTGAAGGTAGTTTAGTGTGTTTGAAATCAGATTAGACTACTTAACTGATTTACACATTCAGTTTTTTCAGATTGTCCTCTCCTTGTGACATCACAGTGAAAACCATTGACACGTGTTTCATCTCCACACCACTAAATCATTTTAACCAAAAGAGTGTGTTGTTAAAGTAAATAATAATAACGATTAACAAGAATAAACTTGTCAATACATATTTGTTATGATGTAGCTTTACTTTTATAACTTACTTTCTTCAAATATAGCCTGTGCACAAGATTTCAATTAATTTTAACTATATGGAAAGTTCGAAAAGTTTGCATTATTCTTAAATTCACTTGAGACAAAGAAGATACTTACACTGCCCCTGCCCTCCTTGCCCCTTGTGCCCATCCCCTCACACTGCCCCAGTTCTCCTCAAGGCCCTCTGCGCCCTCACCCATGACTTGCTCCATCCCCTGCCTTCCTCAGCCCACCCTTCCTTTCAACCCCTCTTCTCCCCGCAGCCACTACTCCTCTTTCCCCTTCCCTCCCTCTTGCCCCATGACTCCTCCCCTCTCCTTTCCCAGCATCACCCTGTCCCCTCCCCCTTTTCACCCCCACCAACACCTTCCCTCCTGTCCCTTTCCTCATTGTCTCCCTTGGCTCCCTGGCATTTCGTCTCTCCTCCGCTTTGCTCCTTGCTGCCAGCCCCTTTCTTCTCCTGCCCTGGACTCCCTCCCCCCTCAGCATAAGCCTCTTCCTCTCCTCACCCTTCTTCCCCTTAGTTCTCCCCTGTCCCTTCTCCAACTTTCTGCCGGACGTGGAAAGCAGTTTGCAGGGGCTGGAGCTGGGGCCACGGTGCTATTTTTAGTACCATGGTATGGCCCCAGAAGCCCCCTCAGCCCCAGCCCCACCCCGTGTTACTGCAGTAGCTGGGGATTATTATCAGGAATCAAAAATAATCTACGCCTTCCCCAGAGGAAGGAAATCGGACTCGTTGAGCACAAAGCAAGCCAAGATCCCTGTCTTGACAAAATCACAGAGGAAGAAGTGCTAATCTGCTTGCCTTTTACAGGGAAATTGTTCTCTCGAGCTACCTGCTCCTCTCCTACTGCCCCTCACCTCTGGAGAAGCTCCCTATATGCTTCTGCCAAACTAACTCACCATTCTCCTCTGAAACCCTCCTTAAAATTTCCTACGTTATTGATCTGATTCACTGCTGCCTTGTTCCAGTGTGATGCCAATGTAACCCTATCAGCATGAAAGCAGAGTAAAGGAGTAGTGAATCCAACCCTATATTTTCATGAAGCTGTATACCTAAGTGGTTATCTGAAGAAATATGCCAGAAACATCTAGGATATAACCAAACTACATGGACATTTGCAGACACAAGTACCCAAACCAAGCCACTGCACCTGGGCTAAAAGGGAGTTAAGTTTAAGAATATTTGTAAAATTTAGGAATAAAAACATTGCAGGGATACTATAACTATCCCTAACCAAGTGTTATAAAACCAAGACATTCAGGGTTGAGATTATATTTCAAAACATTCATAACGTTTTAAGAGAAGAAGTGCTCAGGTAAGATCCCTGAGTATCCTTAATTCTGCCCTGAACTGAAACAATGCAATAAACGCAAGGACTAGAGTGAAGGTAGTTTAGTGTGTTTGAAATCAGATTAGACTACTTAACTGATTTACACATTCAGTTTTTTCAGATTGTCCTCTCCTTGTGACATCACAGTGAAAACCATTGACACGTGTTTCATCTCCACACCACTAAATCATTTTAACCAAAAGAGTGTGTTGTTAAAGTAAATAATAATAACGATTAACAAGAATAAACTTGTCAATACATATTTGTTATGATGTAGCTTTACTTTTATAACTTACTTTCTTCAAATATAGCCTGTGCACAAGATTTCAATTAATTTTAACTATATGGAAAGTTCGAAAAGTTTGCATTATTCTTAAATTCACTTGAGACAAAGAAGATACTTACACTGCCCCTGCCCTCCTTGCCCCTTGTGCCCATCCCCTCACACTGCCCCAGTTCTCCTCAAGGCCCTCTGCGCCCTCACCCATGACTTGCTCCATCCCCTGCCTTCCTCAGCCCACCCTTCCTTTCAACCCCTCTTCTCCCCGCAGCCACTACTCCTCTTTCCCCTTCCCTCCCTCTTGCCCCATGACTCCTCCCCTCTCCTTTCCCAGCATCACCCTGTCCCCTCCCCCTTTTCACCCCCACCAACACCTTCCCTCCTGTCCCTTTCCTCATTGTCTCCCTTGGCTCCCTGGCATTTCGTCTCTCCTCCGCTTTGCTCCTTGCTGCCAGCCCCTTTCTTCTCCTGCCCTGGACTCCCTCCCCCCTCAGCATAAGCCTCTTCCTCTCCTCACCCTTCTTCCCCTTAGTTCTCCCCTGTCCCTTCTCCAACTTTCTGCCGGACGTGGAAAGCAGTTTGCAGGGGCTGGAGCTGGGGCCACGGTGCTATTTTTAGTACCATGGTATGGCCCCAGAAGCCCCCTCAGCCCCAGCCCTAGCCCAGCCACTCCAAGGGTGGGACCACATGCCAGGACTGGAGCAGAGGCCGTGTTATTTTTAGTCCTGGTCCCCACGGGTGGCCCTGGCTCCAGCTAGAGTCAAGCAGCAGCTGCACAGGCCCGTTCCAGCTGGGGCAGCCTCACCTCACGTGCCCTGGCCTCAGGTGGAGCAGAAGGGCAGCTGCCTGATGCCAGGAACCCACCGGGCTGCTGGCATCACCACTCTCCTTCCGTTCCAGCAGAAAAGGGAGCAGTGAGTACTGTTGCGTGGCTCTGAAAATGACGTGGGAGGACCAAAATTGTTAGTGCGTGGCCGCACAGATCAGAGGAAACACTGGCCTCTGGCCCCGAAAGCTTATGTTCTAAATACACACTGGGAGGAAGGGGAAACCCATGTTAAGTGACTCATCCATGGCCACACAATAGGCTCATGGCAAAGCCAGGGTCTCTGGCCAGCCATCCCAGTATCTCAGCTACTAAATTTCATTGCCTCTGATGAAGGAAGGGCACACAGGTCTGCTGCCCCAAACCTGACCACAGAGAGTTTAAGGAGCTCATGTTTGCCCGATGACACCGCTGTGCAACGTTGTGACATTGTCTCACACTCGTGATGTTTTGCGCCGTGAACATCACGTGGCATGTTGCGGGGGAGAGGAAGGGCGCCATACTCTCCGTGGCCCTAGGAATGGCGTGTGAACTCGGGCCCATGAGGCTCAACCACAGTCCAGAGAGAGAGCCTCTAAGAGAAATACATTCAGTGTCCAGCCCAGAGATTCTGCCGGCGTAGCTCTAATGAATTTAATGGAACTACATCCGTTTGCAGCAGTTGTGGATCCGGCCCTTTGAGTACCACTAATTCCTTGGCCTTTCCACTAAAACCACAAATGATTTGCCTCTGTGATAGGAACGTTTGCCAAGCCCTAAACGGGTTAGGATCACTCATCGATTTTACAAAACAGCTTTTACTCATTAGGAGCCTGCCTGAGATGCAGAACAATGACCGGGAGATGGGAAACGTTTTAGCACATGGTCCGTCCAGTCATGGCCAGAATTAGTTCAGACATTAAAGACTGTTCTTCTGCCTCCACAAAGAACAAACGGGACAGCAGACTTAATGGTGGACTTTTCAGCTAACTAAACAGAACCCTTGGTGGTGAGCTATCAACGGCTGTAGTCCATCCCCAACCAGCTCATGATGGGTACAGAGCAACAGTTCTTAACGACGGTCCCCTAAATGACATAACCGAGAGTGGGAAGGTCAATGAGTTTCATAGCAGAAGTCCTGGAAAACCCATCCCTGTTAGGTTTTGACTCAAGTCGTTGCTTTAACTTGAGTAGATTTGACTTAGACTGCGGCGCTTCTGTTTACCGAAAGGCTTCGTCATGGTAACACTATGGCTCATTGCTCTGGCTTGCCAGAGGCTGTAAACAAACACAAATACATGCGTATGAAAAAGAATTAATCGTTTCAACCTGGAGCCAACCTAGCCTGTCAGTTTCAGAGCTGAATGAAAAGGCCGGGGCATACTCCCA